TGCTAATCAGCCAATCACATGGCAGAAACTCAATGCATCTAGACGTGGTGAAGACGACATGCTGAAATTCAAACCAAGCATCAGAAAGGGGATTTAAGTCACTGAATGTGGCATGGTTGTTGGTACCAGACAGGCTTGTCTGGGTATTTCAAAAACTGCTGATCTACTGGGATTTCCATGCACAACCATCTCTAGGGTTTACAGAGAATTGGCAGAAAGAGAAAATATCCAGTGAGCGGCAGCTGTGTGGATGAAAATGCCTTGTTGAGGTCAGAGGAGAATAGGCAGACTGGTTTGAGATGATAGAAAGGCAACAGTAACTCATGTCAATATGGATTAAAATTTCTGAGGAATGTTTCCAACACCTTGTTAAATCTATGCCATGAAGAATTAAGGCAGTTCTGAAGGCAAAAAGGGGTCCAACCCGCTACTAGCAAGGTGCACCTAATAAATTGGCCGGTGAGTGTACTTTTCAGCCTAACAAATACCTTTTTAATAGTTGGGACCTGACAGGTTCACTTTAAGGTATCTAAGACTGTTTGCCTATAGGCTACAATAATGGCAGTCTGGCCCTGGCTCTACAAGTAACTGGGTACTCTGTTTTCTATGTTAAAAAGCATATACTGTTAATTGTTTTTCATACATTTTATAGGAGATATGGAAGAACTTCCCTATGCACTGTTGTCCCATACTGGTGGATCTCGGGGTTTTCCAAAACATTTTGAAATTATTGTAAAACAGCACTTCCATATTGTATACTGGGATGAGTTAAACAACAACCGAGAGCTATATGCCCCAAAAGTACAGGCTCTCTTGTTGTGGTGGCACCTGCCTGTAGTGACCAAGGAACTTTTAGATTCTCTTCCCAATCTCAAAGTGATATCGAGCTCTGGAGTAGGTGTGGATCACATGGATCTGAAGCTGATATCAAGCTATGGTATAAAAAGTCACCAATACACCAGGTGTGGGAGATGATGCCACTGCAGATATGGGAATGGCTCTGATGCTGGCATCTGCCAGAAAATATAGTAGAAGGTAAAATATCTGTTCCACCATATACAAGTTTGCATTCTATTTTCACTTTTCTGTACTTCAAGGTGATCTATTAGCAAAGCTTCTAATGGGTTATCTACACTGCCTGGATATTTGTCAAACTGTCCCTTAAATGTCTGCATAATTAAAGGCACTGCCATGTCACAACTGACCTTCAGAAGCATACAAAGATCACAGTCTATTTTTTCACTACCTCCATTTTTCTGGTGTTATCTGATTAAAAAAAAAACACTTTACCTTTGTTTTAAGTTTTACTAGATTTGTAGAAAGTTGGAGTTTGTTATACATTTTATTAGCTAATTTAATGAGGAAATTCAGGCCCCTTTAGGTTTGGCCTCGCCACTCCAGCACTGCTATCTTTACTAGTCTTATGTGTTTCACAAATGTGCTTAAATGCTGTGCCCAGCCTTTGGGTCCTGGCAAAGCCCTGTGGCACATATGCACACAGACAATGGATTTCCATGCATGTGCAGACCACAAGTTTTAGGACTTCAATACCAATACACTTGCATAGGAAAGCCCGCATGTGTGAAGATGTGCTGCAGGGCTCTGCAGAAACATGTAAGCTAGTCAGTAACTGCAGCCAATCGCATGCAAAATTTTTTCTAATATTCTGACAAACGCAGGTGTCAGCTGTTTGAAAACATAGCCACCGGGTGATACTTCCATCCATGCTATTAACATGGATGAAGGATTCTGCTAGATTTCATTTTGTTCAGCCTGCAGGCCTGAACTTACAGTGGACAGGACCTGATGAGGAACTCTGAGACTAGTTCCTCACCAGGGTTGCCTGTGATTTACAGAAAATGGCAGTGGGTGGACTCCATAGCAGCTATTCAGTCCAAATAGCAGCTTTGAAATCTGCCCACCACCATTTGCTGTCAATCACAAGCAAGGTGAACCTGATGGATAACTAGTGTTAGAGATCCCCATCAGGTTCTGCCCACCTGACAACTCAAATTCATGGGCACTGCAACAGCTGTGTGGGTGGAGCTTGATGGGGAACTCTAAAACTAGATGTCTGGTCTACCTTGCCTGTGATTGACAGTGCACAGCAGGGGGTGCATTTCACTATTGCACTGAAGAGCGGCTATAGATTCTCCCACTGGCGTGATATCAGTCAAAAGTAAAGAAGGCCTGATGGAACTCTAGTCTTAGTTCCCCACCAGTCTTCGTTCACCCCCAGTACGAAACTCCTTGGCCATATTGCTGTCAGTGTGATGGCCAGAGTGGCTGGGGCGGAAGGATAGGAGTGAGTGCACTGAGGAAGCAATATCCAGTGTGGACACTTCTCCCTCAGTGCTGGCCAGGATTTACAAATTCTTGTACTTGTCTTGGACAGGTACATAAATTGGGAACATTCACTGTCACTTTAGGTGATGTGCTCCTAAGGAATTCTAAGGGTTTTTAAGACACCCTTTAGGAATTCCCTGGACTATGTTTAATCATTAATAATTTATTGAGAATTATCATGCTACAGTGAGGAAAGCAAAAACAAGAGAAAAATATATCCTCATTAAAGATAGGACCTGGAAGGAGGAAAGGGAAAAGACCATGGAGCACAAGGGGCAGGGGAATGGAAAAATGCATAGTGACTCCCAAAACACAGCTTTAAGTTTTTGACTTATCATAATCCCATTTGCACAACTCCTGAATTAACAAGAATAACAAATATTATTATTATTATTTGAGGATTACACCTATCACAATTAAACAAGTGTTCCCTGACATAGAGCACCTAGAAAAGCACATCATTGTAATATTGCCCTACTTCTAACTAAGAAGCTTTGCGAAATGAAATGAATAAAGATAATTTATGACATCATAAAACCATCACAAATGTAAAAGTATCTTTAAAAATCTTAAAGTTTACTATGCCCACCAGAGAAACTGTTTCAGAGAGATTACTGTACAAAGCTGCACTCAGTCTAAAGTAAAGTACACTCTATGAGAAAATCGGAAGAAATTCCTAATTTTCATAGTGTACACAACTTTCGACATCCGATTCCGACTTTCCAAACAAAAATTTCAGAAGGGACAAACTCCAAATTTTTTTTTGTCTGTGAACACAACTAACAATTTTTGTTTAATGTGTACTGGTTTTGTACAAGAGAAATCGAATACGAAAGACTGCACATGATCAAAAAAACACAACAAAAATCTATTCTACAACATTTCTAGGGCAAACAAAAAAGTCTTTGTCGTTGGAGAATTTTCATACAGTTTGTGCCATCCTTGGGTTCAACTTGCTGTGAAATATCAAGGAAAAAAACGAATGATCATTTTTTTTTTTAAAGCGTGTACCCAACTTTAGACTAAATATGTCCTATTTACCACAATAGTAATACCACAAGGTATTTAGGAGTAAATAAGAAATGTGGAATAACTGATCAGTAAGGGAAGAAACATTGTCTCAGTTGACAATTTCAAGGTTGGTCCAGTGCAGGCAAAGAAACAATTATATGAGCAATGTGGGGGTTTTTTATTGGCTTCAAAAGAAAAACTATATTGCATCTTCAGCAATTCTGCCTAAGGTTTTATCATAACACTTACATAAAAGTAATTTCTGACATAACTTTCACAATTTACTAGTTAGCTGGTTCATATTTGATAATTGTATATGACATAAAGATTTACACTCTGTGTAAGTTATTTACCTTAAAGTAGAATTCTGGGCTTTACCTAACTGGTCTTAAAAGCACTCCCTAGCAGGGGCGGACTGACCATTTGGAAACTCGGGAACTGCCTAAGGGCCGGGGGTCAGTAGGGGGCCCCATGAGATGCCCCTGGTACCTTTTTCATAGGTTTTTTTAAATTTGGGCAAGGACACAGGGGCCCCATGATCCCCTATTGCCCGGGGGCCCCATGAGGTGTCAGTCCGCCACTGCTCCCTACCACTTCCTAACACCTATTCTGATTAACCTATGTAAGAAAGTGGTATATAGTTACCTATTTTCAGCCCGTTTGGTCACATGATCTCTCATGTCAGCCAGCACAGGCTGCATGGGAGAGAGCTCCCGACAACTGTTGGCTATACCTGGGAGTAGTGATGCCACCCATTGTCCGTGCTCCCCTGCTGCAGCCACTGGCAGACACAGAGGAAGTATACAGATCTTCCTTACACAGGTTAGTTAGTACAGGTGTTAGGAGTGGGGAGGGGATGTTTTTGAGACTATCAAGGTAAAGCTCAGAGATCTACTTTAAAAGAAAAGTAGGACTCCGCCCCCCCAATTATACTTACCTAGCTGGATACAGCATCAGTCTGATTCTGCATCTGTCCCACGCTGGCTCTAGCTGTGAGAACTCAGTGATCACATGACCACTGATTGCTGACTTCTCACAGCTGCTCTGAGCAGAGAGCGGTGACTGTCAGTCACTGCTGTCTGCTCTGCCCCCCACCACTGGAGTGCTGGGCGGTGGAGGGGGTGGGGACAGCTGGCTCAGATCGCTGAGAGGCAGAGCCAGGTGCTGTTCCAGACTCTGGGGTGGATCCCAACTTTAAAGTCAGGATCTTTCCCCAGCCTGGACCATAATGTCTACCGACAACGGGTTTCAGCCCGCTGTCAGCTGAAAATGGGTCACAGGAGTGTGTGTAAATATCCACTTGTCATCTCCATTGCAGGCTAATGTGATAATAATTGTATTTAAGCTACAAATGTAGTAAAATATTACAACTGTCATTTGTATAATTTGAAGTTACACTAGGAAGGTAAATATAAGATATATGTTGGGTTTACATATGATTGTAATGTCAATGTAAAAGAGTGCCCCTTTAAATCACTGCCTGTGGGTTCTGTAATATTGTGTTTGAGCTGAGTATATTACCTTTTACCCAGGTCCCATGTTATTTCACAGGTCACAGAATTTCATGCTCACCAGATACAAAAGATTTTGATTATAACTCGGTGGGTGATGACATTACAGAAGCAACGCTGGGCATTATTGGAATGGGCAGTATTGGCTACGGCATAGCTCAGCGTGCCAAGGCTTTTAGAATGAGAATTCTTTACCATAACAAGAACAGAAGGTGAGATGTCTTTTCTCATAACTAATAAACAAAAAAAATCAAACTGCATAAAAATAAATGACTAATACTGGGTCCACACTAATGCGGTGCAGGACACTGCATGTAATTTGCACTGCGGTGCGATTTGAGCCATACATTTTATATCGTTCAAATCGAATTGCATCCACACCAAAAAGGTACAGGACTTTTTTTTTTTTTTAAATCCACACCTGAATCACATCAAATGGACGTTCTCACCCATGCGATGCGATATGTGGCAATCGCATCTAACTTTGCGATCTGTATCAGGGTGTCATGAATTTATCTTTGACACCCACATCAGATCACATGAACGCCATGCGATTGCAATGCGGTGCGGGAAACGCTCTGGATTTGCAGTGTTTCTCACTACGCATTAGTGTGAACCTAGGCTAAATACGATTTTAATATCAGAAAAACAAACATAACTGTATTTTGAATGCTATAGTTTAATAAATGTAATCACACAAACTATATTCTTTCTGACATGATTCTTAAACAGGGCTGTGGAGGAGGAAGAATTGGCCGTGGGTGCTGAGTACTGCAGTAATATGGCCGAATTGCTCCAGCAAAGTGATTTTGTGATGGTGGCTGTCACTTTAACTCCAGAAACCCACAATTTGATCGGACGGAAACAGCTTCAGCTGATGAAGCCCACAGCTACTCTTATTAACATTAGCCGAGGTACACCCAGTAAATTCTATACTTGTACATAAACATTTTTACTGGCTAAAATTAATTTGAAAGTGTATTTGGCGTCCATTACTTATTCCTGTAGAAAAATATAGGTTTAAAAATATGTATTTGTGTAGAAAATATGAGTGCATTCACAGCTGTGCATCTGAACATATGTGCATTTTTAATGCACTGTACATTGTAAAGTGGAAAACTGTAATATTGCATTTTTTTTTGGTTAACAATTCTTAAATGTGGTGGCTGCATTAGTTTTCCTTTTTTCTATATTTTTTTTTTCTCTATATTCACTTAGTGATCCTGCCAGTAATTCAATTTCCTTTAACACAACAAGCAGTCCAGGTAACATTTCAGCTGGTTGAGACAAACCATTTGACACTGACAGAGGTGCTTACAATGGTCACTTTTTATTGATATTTTATCCCAAAAGGATCAAAACTGTTGCCACAACAGCTTAAAAAATGTTAGCTGGAGTTCAGTTTTAAAGTGATATTGAAGGTTAAATTAAATAAAAATAAAAAAAAAGTTGTACTTGCCTGCTCTGTGCATTGGGTTTGCACAAAGCAGCCTTGATCCTCCTCTTCTCAGGTCCTGTCTCCTCTTCTCCAACTGCCCCCATAGAAAGCCGCTTGCTATGAGGACACTCGTGGGTGCTCCCTCAAGAACCCACTCTGTGTATCTATAAGACAGACTGGGGCTTGGCCCTGCCCCCACTCTCACTGGTTGTGATCGACAGTCATTGGCTCCCACTGCTGTTTTTCAGCCAATGGGAAGGCAGAGAGCTAGGAGAGCAGGTGCTCTGGTGCACATCACTGGATTGTGATTGGGCTCGGGTAAGTATTGGGGGGCTGAGGGGGAAGCTGCATACTGAAGGTTTTTCACCTTTATGAATAGAATGCATGAAAGTTGAAAAAAACACTTCAACCTTTTAGAATCACTTTCCTTTTTTAATCAAGTCCACCTAACTCTACTAGTGCACTTAACACTATCCTCTCCCCAGATTGACAATGCTGCTGTCCATATGTGTCTCTGTTGCTCCTCCATAGAGGAGAGCCATCCTAAGACAGAAAGTGTTTTACTGGCTGGATCACCAGATAAAAATAAAGGGGGAAAAAAAGCCTAAAGAAAACTAATGCAGCCACCACATTTAAGGATTGGTAAGTTACAGTATAGCAAATTTTTGTATTTGGATTTAGATGCATTTTAAAGGATTGTTATTAGTATTCATTATACAATTATAGGCAACTGTTTATTTCAGGCCAAGTAATAGACCAGGATGCACTGGTAGATGCCCTAAAACGTGGAATTATTAAGGCTGCAGCTCTAGATGTCACATATCCAGAACCCCTACCAAGGTGAGGTCACTAGAACACCTAATTTTATTTTACAGGTGTCTGGCTCTGACTTTATTTTACCACTGCTACAAATAAGCTAGCTACTGTATATGAGAATAGTGGTATTATTTAGAAATGATTAAACATCAAGAAAATAATGGTTTTGCACAATACGCACCTTTTTGTCCAGTCCACAGTTCAGGCCTCCGGATCCAACTCTGGGCCAAGAGTGAAGTGTAAGCTGGCCATTTGTGATAGGTGAAACCCAGGTGCAACAAACCATTCTGATCTATCTAGGTGCTTTATAATGTCAATTTATTGATTCTTAAAGAAGTATGGCCAAAGCTTGTGTAGCCATACTTCTCTTCTGGGTCACAGGAGTGCACTTACTTTCAAGTGACCTAGAGTCTGCCTATAGCCTGCTATCAGCTGACTTTATAGAGCCCATCTAGGCCTGGTAGGGTCTCAACCATATTGTCGGGATGCACCCAGCTGCCTGATAAGCCAGTTGTACCCACCCTCCTCTTCTGCCTGGTGCTCCAGTGAGTGTTGGAGGGGCAAAGTGGAGACCAGTGATTGACAGTCACTGCTCTCTGCTCCGAGAAGACCAAGAACTGAGCAATCAGTGGTCATGTGATCTCTCATTTCTCTGGCTTGGAGTCAATGGACAGCTGCAGCATCCTGTACAGTATGTGTTTTTTTGGGTGGTTTTTTTAACCACTTGCCCTCCTGAGGATGTACCCCCCCTTTCCTGACCAGGCTATTTATTGCGTTATGGTGCTGCGTTACTTTTAACTGACAGTTGCACGGTCATGCAATGCTGCACACAAATTAAATTTACATCCTTTTGCTATTAAACATGTTCAGTAAAAATTTTAAAAAAATCACATTTCGTCATAAATTTAGGCCAAAATGTATTCTGCTACATGTCTTTGCTGAAAAAAAAAAAATTCCAATACGTGTAAATTTTTTTTTTACTAGTAATGGTGGCAATCAGCGACTTATAGCGGGGTTTCGGCGGGATTCTGACACTGGTGTCACTGACATCCCCAGTGACACCAATTCAGTGATCAGTGGTAAAAGAAAAAAAAATCACTGACGCTGTACTAATGGCACTGGGCAGGAAGGGGTTAACATGAGGGGCGCTTAAAGGGTTGTCTGTTTGCTGGGTGTGTAAGCACACAGCACAGCCATCCAAAGCAGTGTGCACGAGCTGACAGGGAGAACTGTTTTGTTTACATACAGTTCTCCTCCTCGTCGAAGATCCTTGGAAATCACTGGGCGCTGGTGAGTAATCACCAGCCGGGACCCGGTGATTGACAGCCACGACTGCAAATGGCGGTGCAGGAAGGCATGCACTCCCTACCCGGAAATGCGAAATCATGTGTATATACACGTGATATCGCACACCTATGCTGCCCTGTAGCAGTATTTCTGCTATAGGGCAGTCGGGACGTGGTTAATACCCCAAACTTCTCCTTTTAAGTGGTTGTAAACCTCAGATGTGAAAGCAGGGTCCATACCTCCAAAACATGCTGTCCGCAGCAATAGGTGTAAATATCCTCCCCAACAAGTTGACAGCTCTATTCTGAACTGCATGGCTTGTCTGACACTTGCCAAGAGTCCTGTTGTGGATGGGGCTTGTGTTCAGACTGTGAGCCTGTGTGAAAAGAAAAAAAAAAGTCTCTCAGCGCTCTGATTAGTACACAAACATTCAAATATTTAAAAGTACTTATTCCAAATTCCTGTTGGTGGAATCTCCAGAGTTGATGATATAATGAAGTCCTGGCTCAGGATGGTGGGTACAAGTATTCAACAGCCTTAATGATAGTTCATATGGAATGAAGACCAGGGATGGATGGATGGACAGCTCTAATGCTGCTTGGTACATCACATCTGGAAGAAATCCTCAATGGCATATAGAAGAAAACAAGGTAGCCAAAGCGCAGGGACTAAAAAAACAATGTGTCATTTATTAAATAAACAAATATCCTAACCAGGGGCGGGACTGACAACTCATGGGGCCCCCGGGCAAAAGGGGATCATGGGGCCCCTGTGTCCTTGCCCAAACTCAAAAAAGCCTATGAAAAAGGTACCAGGGGCATCTCATGGGGCTCCCTACTGACCCCGGGCCCTCGGGCAGTGCCCGAGTTTCCAAATGGTCAGTCCACCCCTGATCCTAACTTGCATGCAAGTAAGATAGGAGTCCTCAAACTACAGCCCGCCGAAGACCTTTATCCGGGCCAGCCGAAAAACAAACTAAAAAAAAAAACTCCCAGCGCTGGCTGGCAAATAGCTAGCCTGCAAGCTCCGGATTTCACTTGCTGCAGCCAGAGGAGCAAGAGGACAGGAAAGGAGGAGAGCACACCAGGTACAGTGCATTGCGGTGTCCAGTGTATCAGAGTACAGGTGCGCTACAGTTAATGCATTGTGGTGTCCAGTCTATCAGAGTAGAGGTGCGTTACAGTGTCCAGTGCATTGCGGTGTCCAGTGTATCAGAGTACAGGTGCGCTACAGTTACAGTGCATTGCGGTGATCAGTGCGCTACAGTGCATTGCGGTGTCCAGTGCATCAGAGTACAATGCTTTCCGATGTCCAGCGTATCAATACAGTGCGTTGCAGTGTCCATTGTGCTACAGTGTCCAGTGCATTGCGGTGTTTAGTGGTGTATTTAGATTTTGTGCTGCCCTAGGCAGCACACACAAACTTTGCGCCCCCGCCCCCCCCCCCCCCACAATGAGAGAGCGAGAGAGTTCAATAAGTGTATGAATATGATTCTCTCTCCCCCCCCCCCCTCAGTATGATCACCCATCTCCTCCAAGGGCTGCTGATCTCCAGGCATCTGGAAATGTGGGCAGGGGGGTGGTATTCATACTGTGTGTGCAGTCCCTACTGATCTGTCAGTGATCATGTACCATGTGCTGCAAGGACAACAGGAGGGGAGAGAGTCCAGAGAACACATCACAGCTCGCCTCCTCCAGGCTCTTTCCTCTCCGCCACTTTTCCTCTCCCTGCTCCAGGCTCTTAGTGCAGGCAGGGGAAGGAGCTCAGCAGAGAGCAGCCACTCAGGAACACCAGGGCACCCCTTCAATCCGGCCATGTCTGTCTCTCCCTCCAGCAGCAGTAAGCCGGCAGGAGGGGGAGCAGTGCATCCTTCTGCAACTGCTCTCTCACACACACTGATCCTCCTGCTGTCTGGGCCACCTACAGAAATACAGGTGTACCCCTTGCTCTGCCTGCTGCTGCTCACCAGGTCCCTTCTTCCGGGGGGTGGTGCCGCCCCCCTAAAAATTGCCGCCTTAGGCAAACACCTTGTTTGCTTCGCGGTAGATACACCCGAGTGTGTTAGAGTACAGTGCTTTGTGGTGTCCAGTGCGTTAGTGTCCAGTTTATCAGAGTACAGTGGTGTCCAGTGAATTTTGTTGTTCAGTGTGTTACAGTGTACAGTGCATTTTAAATATTGTATTCCTGTGGTTTTTTTTTTTTTGCACTACAAATAAGATATGTGCGGCATGCATAGGAATTCACATTTTTTTCAAACTATAGTCCGGCCCTCCAACAGTGTGAAGGTCCGTGAACTGGCCTGCTGTTTAAAAAGTTTGAGGACCCCCTGAAGTGCTGCTTGGACATGGAGGGAAATGACAGTATATGTGTGAGAATGATGAGCCTAGTCTACAGACCGGATACAGCTGTCATCCACAGGAAACCCGCCATGTAAGGATGGGAAGCAGCAGCATCAATGGCCGCCCTCAACGTACCTGGCATACACTGGAAAATGTGAAGAGGGCATGTACAAGGCATTTCAGCGGCCCTGTCTCCTTTGTCAAGTACAATCAATATCAGGGCAGGAACCATTTTTAACACAAATGAAGAAGAAAAGCACCTCTAAGTGCAGTATAAAGACATTTATTCTTGAACAAGTGAAAAGACAACAAGCACAGGTCTTGGAGTCGGGTAAAAGAAATGTCCGCAGAATTTAAAATACAATCCAAAGCAGCATTATGACAA